ATGGCTGGGTTCGGGCCCGAGTGAGTCCCGGGACGATCGAGTGGTTGATTGGCTGTGTGAGTGGCGCGCTGCCGTGCGCACGAATAATAAATGTTGACGTCGCTTCTTTTGTTTCGGTTTTGGACTTTTGGGCACGGACATCGCACGGGAATTTTGCTTCGATTTTGAATTTTCTTTTTGAACTTTTCTTCAGATCTTGTCGAGCCCTAAAGGCTCTCGGAATTTCGGACTTTCCTTTCGGAGTTTGTGCTTTTTGCTTTTTCGCATTGGATAGGAATTTCGGAATTTTGCAATTAGGATTTTCCTTTGTCGCGCGACACCTTTTGTCTACACGCTTCTTCGTGCGGCTGCAACGGAACTCTGATTAGTCGGCGCCCTTAATCGAGAGTGTAACTGTAATTTTGGGCGGGCGCCATTATAACAGTATCCTTTCTTCTTGTGCTTCGTCTTTCTCGCTCTTGTTTTCTCTTGTTGTGTCTAGGCAGCCCGCAGGCTGCATGATCGGATCGATGCGTGGAGAGAGGCTACGTCCCCCATGCCGCGGCCCGGTCATGCAGAACGGAGGCGCTCCCTCTCTAATCTTCCTTCTAAGTCCTTGTAATTCCGTGTTGTTCGCGCATGCATGCACGCTATAAATTCCGGCTGCGCGATTAGTTAGCTCTCTTAACCAGCTGTTGGAAGCTCGGGGTAGCACGATCAGTGAGGGTCGGCTCACGAGCGAAGTAAGAGGTGAGTTGAAGTGGGAGTCGGGCGACCCGACGAGCTGGTGCCAAACGCGCGGGGTTGACGCGGGCCACGACGGACTGTGGGCGCGGGCGAACCTGACGGGTGCGGGAGGACTAAGCGGGGTGACGGCTTCGTGGGTTGGTGCATGACGACGGACTGTCCGCATTGGAGAGAGAGAGAGAGAGGAAGAGGGAGCTGAGGGTGGTGGACGTGGATTTGCTGTTTCTTTTGTCTTTTCTCCCCCTCTACTGATGTATATAAACTTTGATTTCGGGTCAAGGCAATTTGCCCGTTTTTGTTTTCAGAATCTTGGCTTGGTTTTCTTTCGCCCACACTCTTCTTTGCGATTTCCATATCGGATATTGTGTACATTATGTTGAATGAATGGATGAATGAATGTTATATCTGGTTGCTTGTCCGTATGCATGATCCTTGCCTTCGTTTATCGTCTTGATGCACTTATGAGTACGGTAGGAATTTTGCGTAGTCATCAGTACTGTTTCCATTTTTCGCTTATCCCTTGATGAGTTGTTGTTGTTGTTGTGGTTGATTGCATCTCGTATGCTCGGAAACTACGAAATGATTAGATGATCGGGTAGTTGTTTGCCCAGAAACCAGCGAACGCCTTGCAGGGACGCGCGTAAGAACGATCTGCTCGGCGCACTTACACGTGTCCTCGCGCGTCGATTCATGACCAACCACGCATAACAAGGCTAACGATTGCAGGGATATTGCCTGACTGGAGGTGGCCATCTTGCGTCGACAACGAAGCAATCATCCCGTGAGAACACGTGTAAGCGCGACTCGATTCGCGCAGCCTACACATACTCACATGCGGTGATCGCAATCGATGAAGACTCGCCCTTAGGGAATTCGCGGCTCTACGATGACATGATGACGCGCTCTGAGAGCTCAAGTTCATCGTATGACCTGGAGTACTTCACCCCTTGGATTGAGGAGTGCCTCCTACAGAGGTTCCGCTGCCTAACCGAGAACCGACTGTGTCCTAGGGAGTTCCACTGTGCCACAAGCAGCGATCCACGGTGTCCCGATTTTCCCACTTCTGACCACACGCACTACTTTATTTCCCCTGGTTTTATCGTTATCGCCACTGACTTCCCTCCCTTTCGTCTTCTTCTCCCGTATCATCAACTCAAGGTCGTCCCGTGGAACGCCATAGCCACATACTGGCCCAGCATGCCCTGCGGGAATTGTCGGCGATGCGGCAATCCGAGAGCCCCAGAAACTAGAGGGCCTAACCCGAATACGCGACGACAGCCGCCACGTGGCAGCCCCCGAAGGCCCGACTCATCGGGATCACAGCCCTTCCGGGCAGACCTGGCCCTGAACTGACGCCCCCAAAAAAGACGAAGCGGACGGCCTTGAATAACTGGCGCATGCCATCTGCCTTATGACCGGAAGCGGTCCGTCCTCTCGAACCAAATTGCACCCGTGCCCCCGAAAACTCTGCCACAGGAGATCCCAGTTCTGACCTGGGACTCCACCCCCACTTTCCCAAAAATCCTTGGCACACCCCTTGTCGCACTTCCAGGCCCACATCCTACTCCGATCAGGAAGTCGCGCTGGGCGTGAGGTTTGGGCGTCACAACGCTGAGCTCGAGTAAGGGGCAAGTGTGCAAGCATCCAGACAACCCCATGGACCAGTGTGCAAGCAAACCAATCGTAGTCTGGACCCAACATACAACACCATGGGCAATCCCTTGGGTGGTGCGCAGGCAGTGTCTGTAATAGCTTACCTTCGTCAGTCCAAGTGGGTATGCAAGTGACTGTGCGTGATGTAAATGCCCGCCAGTGTCTCTGCGCAGAGGTGCGGAGTTCAAACCCGCAACCTCATACCACAATGCACACTGACAACCGGTGCCCTAACCGCTGACCGATATCATAAACACGAAAATGTTCCGTGGAAGACTCCTGAAGATTCTGGGATGATGAGGACCGAAAATGTCGGCCCCCCATCTGTGGGTGTCAGACTGCCCACCTGCTGGAGCCCGATTTGCTGAAACTCTGCATTCCTTCTTCTCCTCCTCCTAATCGCAGCGTGCGTTAAGATCCTACCTAAATATTGGAAACACAATTTTTCTGTGTTCTTTTTGGCTTCTTTTGAAACACGGTTTCTAGTGCCGCAACAGACCCATTTAGGGCAAACTAATCACGCAAATCCTTTAGCATCGTTCTAAACATTCTAGAGTTTTCTAGAGTTTTGTAGGGTTTTCTAGATGTGTGCAACAAGACTCTTAGTCTCTTATGGCATACTCACGCTAGTACTCTTTTAAATGTACCTGACTGCAATTATGGGCAGACCTGGATAAATCTGACTGCAATCACGTCCAGAGCATAGTAGAAAAAGTCCCAGTGCGAATATCCCGTTATCTTTATTCCTCAACGAACAAAGCTTATACTTCTCTGTTTTTTTTTTTATGACTTTCTCATTTGGAAAAAGCACTGAGATGCACCCAGACTTTTTGCCTTTGACTGAGATACACCCCAATGTTGTGTGTCCGGGCATACTTGCAGGCCAGGTATTCACAAATGCACCTGGTCACCTGCATCAAGAGTGCATCTCACGTAAAAGGGAAAATTCTGGATAGTAAAAAAAAAAAAGAAAAAAAGTCTGTAATACTCTGTATATATGATCATATATCCCTTCTCCTTGTCTCAGATCACTTAATCTTCTTCCTACATAATGTTCAAGACACACCTGTGGTGTCTGCATCTGTGTGGTGCATGCAGTCAGCTGGGTTACTAAGCACCTGTCTGGTGGGACCATGCAGGTGCAGACTCGCTGGGTGCATCACTGCATCTCAAAACAGTGTGCAGAAGAAGATCAGATGAAGCATGATGTAATGGCCACAACCTCAAAATATGTTTCCACTGAAACATTATACATTTCCTTTAGGGCAACTGTTCAAATGGGAATGATACAGAGAAAGACGATTATCATGGGCCCTGTGCAATGATGACACGCGTAAATCGAGAGAATGTCCAAAGAGTCCAAATCAAATATATTTAAGAATATATATATATACATGGGTTCAGCCTCCTGATGAGTCGGTGAAACTCCGACGAAACAGTTTGTCACAGCCCCTCGTTTGTTGTCCTCTTCTCTCTCTCTGCCTACGGTTTTACCGGGCAGTTCTGTTTGTGACAATATATCGTCAAATAGAACTGCCCGGTAAACCGTAGGCAGAGAGGGAGAAGAGGACAACAAACGAGGGGCTGTGACAAACTGTTTCGTCGGAGTTTCACCGACTCATCAGGAGGCTGAATCCATATATATATAGTCAAACAGAACTGCCCAGTAAACCGTAGGCAGAGAGGGTGAAGAGGACAACAAAAGAGGGGCTGTGACAAACTNGGCAGAGAGGGTGAAGAGGACAACAAAAGAGGGGCTGTGACAAACTGTTTCGTCGGAGTTTCACCGACACATCAGGCGGCTGAATCCATATATATGTTTGACGGTATATACATACAAAGCAAGGGCCACCAATTCCAGAGATACAGATGTTCACAGATGTTTACCAAGCACCTGCCAGCACCAATAAATAAAGTCCAGACAATCAAAAGCAGACCTGAATCCCTGGGGCCTCACTGGATTGGCAAGGTGGGTGCTCATTGAATGAAAAACAAACCAAAGAAGGGCACCTGCCTGATGGCGAAGGTCAGATGCAGACTGACTGGGTGCATCTGAAGATATTACGCAGAAGATCAGGTGAAGCGTTATATCCTGTTCACAGTGTAACATTATATAGAGTGTACATACTATATACTATTTAGTATATACTATATACCAATTGCCAGCAATTCTATGGCACACCCCCTTCTTTCCCTTTTTGGACTTATCTGTGGACGTAACTCCTGTGAAATACATTCAGGGGTGGCCATGATTCGGGTCAGATACATCCAGGAAAAAATCCTACTGTGAATTTTCCCTTGCAGATAGAGACGTCATAGATCTGAAATTAGAGCCCAAGACCAGCCGGTACCCACACACGGGCTTATAGATGCAGCGCCAACCAAGGAAGTTAAGATGAAGGCTAACCAGAAGATGAACCACCAAGGCCCTATAGCGGATAGTGCGCTAGCGCTAGCGCCCTGACGCCGGCGGACCGGCGAGGCCCGGTCTCCCCGGCTAGACTAGCGCCAGGGGAGGGAAGCTCCTCGGCTGCTAGGCCTGTGCGCGCGCCCGACAGTGGTGCGTGGCTTCCTTTTGCCTCGTGGCGTCTGTTGTTGGTGACGTGGCCGTCCCGTGACGCGCACGCAGGGGTAGCGCCAGCAGTGAGGTCGATGCGGAAACGCAAGAAGAGCGCAGCTATCAGGGTTAGAGATGGAGGTGGGGGGGGGGCTACAACAACGAGCAGATGATTGGCTGGCGACATTGGAGCAGGGATGCAGGCAGTTACAGGTGATGGTGGGGGAGCTGTCTTTGCGGTCGAATGAGGAGCCAGAAGACGAAGGGGGAGCAATCTCTCTGGCTGTTTGGTTGAAGAATATGGCCGACGACATGCTGGATATCATCTGGGGGCTGGAGGAGGAGGCGGATCCCCAGCTGGAAGCCTGCATCGATTGGAAGAGGGCAGAGTCCATGATGTCTACCTGTTATGCCCTCTTCGCTGAGGGTCGCAACCTGCGCTATAAGCTTGAAGACCGGTTGAAGGGCGAAGACGACCTGGAGGGTGAGGACTGGCAGGAGGATGGAGCGCAGGAAGACGAGGTTAACTCCAGCGTCAGCATCAACAACAACAACATCAACGACAACAACAACATCAACAACAACAACGACTACAACAACAACAACAACGTCAACAACAACGGTTACAGCAACAACAACAATGATGACAACATCAACATCAATAACAAAACCGTCAACAACAACACCTACAACGGAAGCAATGAACATGGCAGAAGCGGGGTGGAGAACGGTGCCCGTGCATATCTGATCATTGTCAGCAAGATGGGAGAGATGCCGCACGTGGATGCGGTGGAATTCGGGCCTGACAACAACAATGGCGAGGGCGGCAACGACGATGATGGCGGCGGGGATCGCCATGACAAGAGTAACAACAACAACAACAATAACAACGTCGACAACAACAACAACAGTGGTGATGGCGGCAGCGATGATTACGGCGCCAGCGATGACCTCGGCAGCAGCAGGGCAGAGAGCATCAGCATGACGGGAGAGATGCTGCATGCTGACATGGAGGGGAGTGGGCTTGACACGGATAAGAGGTTTGCCAGCTCCCCCCCCCTCCCCCCTTTCAACCTCGTTGGTTGGCTGAAGGTAGGAGTGGGATAGTCATTGTTGGGAGTGGGATAGTCGCTGTTGTTTGGTGTTGTCCGGCCCACAATATCGATCAACATCGGAGTGCCGATTGCCCCGCACACATACATTACATCTTGGTTAGGGTTTCATGGGTTGCTATATGTTTACAGCGATACAGTAGATCAGATGCATAGGGTTATAGGGATGCTGGACCCGATTTCCAGCAGATACATTCACATCTCTGTACATTGGGTTTCGTGTTTAAAAAAATGATAGATATAGAACACATCCATCACATACACCACATAACACATCACACATACATCACATTGTGGATTGTTTACATACACAGTGATACTGTGGATCAGATGCATAGGATCAAAGAGATGCTGGACCTGATTTCCAGCAGACACTTTCACATCTTTGTACAGGGACGCTGGACCCGATTTCCAGCAGATACGCTCGTGTTTAAATGAGTGATTGATATAGAACACATCCATCACATACGCCACATCACACATACAGCACACTTACATCACACATACATCACATTGTGGATTGTTTTACATACACAGTGATACTGAGGATCAGATGCATAGGATCAAAGAGGTGCTGGACCTGATTTCCAGCAGACACTTTCACATCCTTGTACAGGGACGCTGGACCCGATTTCCAGCAGATACGCTCTCATCATTGTACAGGGACGCTGGATCCGATTTCCAGCAGGTGTAGCTCCGCACCAATAGATGGAGCCTTCGACGCCGGGAACTACCTATCGGGGATGCTCCTATCACCTCGATAAGTAGGTTTCCCGTATACGAAGTTTCATTTCCCAAAAAAAAAAAAAAAAAAAAAAAAGATGAAGGCTAACCCAAGCCAAAAGTGAGTCTCTCTCTCTTTTTTTTTTTTTTTTTTTTTTTTTTTTTTTTTTTAAGCATCCCTCACCAGCACCAAAAGTGAGTCTCTAATGTCAGTTCCCCTCTCTCTCTCCCTCTCTCATCTGTTACACCCTGCTCTCACCATTCCCCATAGCCTGGCAAGAGGCGCTTCACTCTCTAGCTCCATAACCTAGGCCTACTCCCTCCTTTTACTACTTCACAGCCATGGGGGGCTTCTTCCTCGCCCGCCGTCCAGCAGAAGCTCCGTCTACCTTCACCCTCAGGGAGGAGCAGCAGCGTCACTGCCGGGTGAGGTACCGCTTCCCTCAATGTGCCTGAATGGTATACTCTTACTTCCCGGGCCTCCTATTCCTCCGGGTTGGGTAACTACTGCCTCCGCTGGCCTATTGGGTCTACCGGAAGTTGCTGCTTTTAGGCGGGAACATCTATGCAGCCTGCAATCCAGCTAGCTACTGGGGCTGTATCTACCTTTGCAATTGGAGTTGTTTGGATGGGTGTTTATCCTGAGGTATTCCTAGAGTGTATGCATACCTCTGTAAGTAATTTAGTCCAACATGGGAAATTTGGGCTCTATAGGACCTTTGTATTTGACCGGCCGCCGACCAAAAAGGAGAAGAATCTGATAGCCTTGTTTGACAATGATGTTTCAGCCATTTTTCCAGAAAACTTTCTTGTAAATGCCACTATCTTTTTTTTTTTCTTTTCTTTTTTTTTTTTCTTTTGAAAAAACATCATTGGCGCGAGAGCACCTGCTAGCAGGAGTTGGTAAGAGCATCCTCCTCTAGCAGGCCTCACAGGGTTGATGGCTCCATTCTATTGGTGGGGAGCTGCACCTGCTGGAAACGGGGTCCAGCGTCCCTTCAATGATCTGCATCAGGAGCCTGATTTGTTTAAGAATCCGTCATGTGGGTTCACAGCAGGAGGCAGCATTGATTACCCTCACTTGGAGGGGATTGACTGACCTCCCTGATAAGAAACAATCACAAACACAAACAACCCTAATTGCTTGCCCGGTCCATCCTCCCCTTGGACAACCATGATCATCCCTCACCCCAGCACAAGAGAGGCAGCCTACGTTTCGTCCTTCTGTGGGGAAGACCAACACTAATCCTACTTTTGATAGGACCTTCATGCCAAGCAACCCTTAAAAACCTAAGAGTTTCGCCTACATCGGTGTCACGATAGGACATGGGCACAAGCTATAGAGGTTTCCACCAGCAAACGGAGACGATTATGCAATTCTACCTACATAGAATATGCAAATTAGAAAGGCAAACATCCCTACCTGCAAATTTGCATCGGAGGAGAGGACGGTCCCGAACAGCGAATCGATGGCGTCCATCACCGTGCAGAACCTCCCACACGAAGGGATAAGGTCCAACCCAAGGTGGTCACCAGGAGTGGTAACCCCGGTCGACCCCCTTCATTCGTTTCCCTCCTCGCAACCTCCCCCTTACATCGTCGTCTCCTCCCGTTGCCATTATTATCCCGCAGATTTGATGGTTTACGTAATTTGTCTCCCTGGCATGATGTGATATCCCCGGGATGGCCGCAGCTTGTTTGCTGTAGGGATCATGTATTCCTTGTTCTTTATTCTGAACAGGATCACATCATCCATAAAGAAGGGGTGGGACTCCGGGATATCTAGAGCTCGCATAAGGTAATCGTCCCACTGCGCGACAAAGGGGGGAAGCGGTTCGATAAAATCAATGATCTTATATTTTTGGCCCAGTTCATGTAAGAAACTGCCCTGGATTTCGACCAGGATGTGTCTGAATTCAACCCAAAAATAATCAGTCATCATCTTCTGTCGTCGTTCTTCCGGGCCAGGCTGTTTGGGGGGGGACCAGGGGTAGATCCTCACCTCTGATCGCTCACATCTCAGACTCTTCCAGCCGTCAATCGTTTGCTTATCCTTTTCGTGCATAGATAGGACTGTGAAGGTGGTGGGGGAAAGAGGATGAATCAGGAAAGAATCCTTGGCTGCTTGTCCGTCCCGCCTCAGGGCTTCCAACCGAAGCCTGATCCACCTCACTTTGTCATTAGTGGATTTGTAGGCAGAATCATCATAGAAAACCCAAGTGTTTGCATGTCTGAGGTATATATTATCCCTGATTCCCAGTCCATCTTTCGGATAGTTTCTCACCATCGTTTTCTTCCCCCTTTGATCGACCACCATTGTTTCTGGGGCGCAAAGGAGCTTGGTAAGGAAGAAGGCCCGTGCAGATGACACATTGTCCAGTGGGATGTGCTGTGTCGGTTCACCCGAGGTACCAGTCTCCCTCTGAATGACCAGAGATTTTCCTAGAAAAGGTCGTTTAATCCTATCTGCCCATGTCCCATGTGTGTTTGTCTCTTTGCTGTGTTGGTTTGTCTGTCCCTTCCCTCCTTGTGTCGAACACTGTTCCGTCTGTCTGGGCTGTCCCTGTTGTATCATAGGGGTTTCTGCAGGTCCCCCGGACGACAGCTTCCCTGGCACTACAGCCACCTCCTTACACTGGCGATGTGTTTGATGGAGTGGGAAGAAAGGTACAAGGGGCGTCTTTGCTTTGGATGGATGTCTACATTTCCCATATATATCGGCCGAAGGCTCCTCACCGCGACTTTTGGAGGCCCGAAACACAGCACGGGCCGTCTATGAAATTTATCAACTGTGGCCCAGCCCCGAAAGTTGCCTGTGCTATCCGCCGCATATTTGTTTTTCAAGTGGGAAAGGTGCTGGCGATTTAAACACTGTGCCGAACCGGTTTGCGGACTCCTATCCAGTTGTGGTCCTATGTTTTCTCTTTCTTTGCTCCCCAAAAAAAAAAAAACTGTCTTGTTGAGTATTGAACAGCGCGCACACCATCTTTCTTGCCTTACTGCCCAGTCATATGCTTTTTCGGAAGTTTTTCCAAGTTGAATTATTATGCACTTCCCTGAGGTCCCTCCTCCCTCCCCCCCCCCCCCCCCCCCTTCCCTCCTCTCGCTCCAGGTGCTCCATGGTTTCTCTCTATTTTTGGGGGGACGGTGTGCACTCCACATTCTTTTTTGTTTCTTTTTTCAAAAGACAAGGCGATGAGTGGCCGATGACCCTTGGGATATCATCTTCAAAGTTCAGACTGACCATCCCCAGGTAAATTCATAGTTATGTACTCATCTGAGTTCATCATTGGGCAAAAACAAAATGAGGTCTGTATTCCAACAGTTCATTGGGGTACCAACTGAGCTAGTCATGGACATTTGGTGTGTTTGGCAGACATGTGTGTGGCAGACATATGTTAAGGCGCCCGTGTGCATGTCACACGTCCTAGTTCGGCACAAGTTACTGTTTTTTTTTTTTTTTTTTTTTTTTTTAATATATATATAACAATTTCTTTATTACAGTGCCGGGAACGGGGCCCGGCGTCCCTCACATATCTGCCATGGCCAATCGGGCTGGGCGAGGCACTTTCCGCCAAGTTCATCCTAGGCCACAGCAGGAGCCATCAGCCCCTTGAAGTGATCAGCAATTGTTCGTCAACTTTTTTTTTTTGTTTTGTTTAACAAACCAGTGTCCTTGGTAGGAGAGGTGGTACGAGGACTCCCTCCTAGCAAGAGACCTAGGTGCTCGTCAACCTCATCGTTTTTTCTGCTGAGATATTCTGAACACCACAAGGTAGGGGCGGACTTCGCGTCCCACCACCGGCACGCCCGAGCCTCTTTTTTTCTGGGGGCGATTTGTGTGATGTACCACGGAAGAAAAGAACTCAAGAGGACACAAAACAATGTGTCGTTTTGCCTGGCGCCACAAGCCTTTTCCTTTTCAGTAGGCCGAGGCCCCAAGGACGTGGAGTGTTTGTTAACCGCCGCTTCTGAACGTAAAAACCTGGTGGTTTAATGCCTCCACAAACAAATCCAACAAGTGCTCCGCAATTCCCAAAAGAAAAAAAGAAAAAAAAGAAAAAAAAGAAAACAGCCAATAACCAGTGCCTTCCAAAATCTCAAGTGATCGCCTATACGAATGCCCATAATTGTTAAGCCACCCCAAAACAGGGGAAAAATAGGAACTGAAATGTTTGTCAGTGCCTGGATTTCAGAGCTCCTAAATGGGAAATAATTATTCTCCCCTAAAGATGTAACAGCGATTGCTGTATCCACCTTTGTGGGGGCCCTATTTCTTTCCTTATTCCTTCCTTTTTCTTTCTTTCTTCCTTCCTTCTTCTTCTTTC